TAGCAAGTACCTTCACTTCTGATTAGGTATACATATATGGTGTAGTGTAGTTTTTTGACTTCGGCCTGAAATACAGAAATATATTTTCAAATATAAAATTATATTTGCCATATTAGCTTTATATGTATAAACTTTAAACACAAATTTTATTAGATATGTAATATATATAATTGTGTATAATACCTAGTGATACATAGTGTACATGATAATAAATGATAATGTAAAATATACATTGTATAGCAGACTATATTAATATAATAAATATATAGTACATGATATATAAGTTAAAATAGCTTTAATATTCTAAAACTTAAGGTTCATTTTACCTCCTTTAGAGGATGTGACAGTATTTTTATTTTATCATGTGGGATTGAGGAGTGTATTGTTTAATAGCAGAGAAAGCTCTGGACTAGATTGGGGGCTATTGCTTGTGACCCTAATGTTACCAGTTACTGGGTGTTACTCAGGGTCTCTTTTTTCCTCACCCGTAAATCAAGAGGATTGGAGTCAATCTTGCGGGCTTTTTCCTAAGATGTAGCTCAGCTTTGCAGATGAGTTTCAGCATTAATTTCAGTTGTTAGAAAAGCTGCACCTTCAAATAGAGAGCCCCCTGGCACTCTCCTTTCTAACCTCCGCTTCTCTTCCAAGGAAGGGGTTACGAAGTTTTCCTTCGACGTTCACAACCCTTGAGCTGTGGTCTTTCCCTTTATTGTCCCACCATCCTGGTTTGGGTCCTGCTGTGTGAGTAACTGTTCAGGTGCACACTACTTTGTTCACTGCTGTATCTCAAAGGCCTCAAGTAGTGCTTGGCCTAGTAAACATTTTTTGAGTGAATGACCCAACTAATAGATAGGAACTCACGATTTTGTGGAAAGGCAGAAAAGCAAGTGCATGTTCTATCACTGGAGTGTCATATTGGAGGTTTGTGCAGGGTACAGTGGTCACAAGGAAGGTAGCTTTGGTCAGGCAGAGCTGGAAAGGAATGGGGAGCTGTTTAGGGAGAGAAGGCGTTAGGGCGTTTGAACTGGGTTTTGACAGGTGATTCCCTCCCTGTGGGTCACGGGAGAAGGCAGTGTAGGTCTGCAATGGCAAGAGGTGGCAGTAAACAAGAATCCACTATGGAGGGAGAACAGGGTGTGAAGTGTTAAGAGGAAATGATGGAGGTTGAGATTGGAGAGTTAGGCCATAAGTCTTGAAGGCCATGGGAAGAATTTGGACTTTTCTGTCAACAGAATGTAACTACTGAAGGGTTTGAAGCAGGGAGTTACGTGATCAGGTTTGCCTGTTGGGAGGATTATCGAGGGAAATGTGATGGGGAGAGATGATGGACTCATTTAATGTTTAGGGGCTGAGGAAGTCCTGGCTAAGAGAACAAAGGAGAGAGGAGTTGAGGACCATCCTGTGTTTTGATTTAGGAAATTGGATGGAAGTGGTCTCGTTAATGAGCTAAGGAAGGCAAGAGGAAGAAGAGACTTTTTGGCAAACACGAAGTCAGTTGTGGACACGTTCAGTTTGAGATGGCTGTGGTGTGGTGTGGAGGGGAGGCGTCCATGAGGCAATTCAGGGTGTAGGCTTGGCTTCCAGGAGACAGGTCTTGGCTGCACATAATGGATTTAGAATTCATTCATTCCTCAGTCACAGTTACAAATAGAGGGAGTGGATGAGAGCACCAGTAAGAGCACTGGAGTGAGGAGGAAACGAAGGCCAAGGACAGAAAGTGGGGCTCTGTGGCACTTCAGGGTTGGCAGGGGAGGGGACTCCAGCACAAGAGGTAACGTGTGCCCGGGGTCCTGGGACAGCCAGGACGGCGGGGTGTCAGGAAAGCCAAGGGGGGTTCCAGAAGGAGGGAGTGACCCCAGGTGTTAGATGCTAAAGGGAAGCCACATAAAGTAAGTGCTTTATAAATAGAAATATAAAAGACATCTATGTATATAAACACAAAAGGAGATTTATTTGGTCAGTGGCGACTTTTACCAGAACACTTACCCTGCTGTGCTGGGATGCAAAGCCAGGGAGTGGTGAGTGAGGAAACAGGAAACTGGAAGAAGGTCCTTGAGGACTTGTCCCAGAACCCTGGGTGTTCTTGGTGACTTCTGCTTCACTCCCACATCTGGTCAGACACTGCATCTGGCATGAAAGGGGACACCTGCGTGCGACCTGGAGACCCGGCTTTCTGGGTTTGAATCTTTGCTTCATTACTGGTGAACTGTGAAATCCAGAGCAAATTATTAAATCTGGCTGTGCTTCAGTTTCCTCATCTATCCGATGGAGGTAATAATATACCTTATGCTGGGAACTGCTCTGCCTGGTTTCAGAAGCTGTAACCCCCCCCATGGCTGAGTGAGAGACCTTGGGACCCTAAGCCACTAAGGAGACAAAGCTTATCTCCCTGGCAGGAGCACCGCCTCTGCTCACTTTACTTCACCCTGCCTGGCTCCCAGTGGATGACTGGTTAGCCAGTGACTGGTAAGATTCTTCAAGGGAGGAATGACTTAAGACAGGCATGGTCACCAGGGAACCCTCAGGGAAGGACTTGGGGGGCTATAGAAAAAGGGGGTGATGGACCCTCACCCCTCAGCTTTGACATAGCCTGAGTCCCCCTTCTGTCTTCAAGAAGTCTCCTAATCTCTTGGCTGCCTTACTTCCCCTGCCTGACTTAAGCCTGAAACAATGACAGAGAGTGATGCAGCCCTGTGCTGGAAAGGGCGGGTTCCCTGGGGCGATCAGGCCTAAGAAAGAATGCATAAAAATCCTGTGAAACCTGCTTTGCTAAGAATGCTCTCAATTTTCTGATAAGGGTCTGAGCAGGAAATGAGTTTGTTTCCCCAAAGTTTTACGGCCCTTTAGCTATTTGACCCCACTCAAAATAGGCCCTCAGAGTTCTTCAGATGTTACCTGTTTGATCATTACTGCCTGGCAATGATTTGATGAGCTTTCCATATACGCCCTGCATTCCTATGCAAATTAAAGCCAGTCAAAGCTTGTCAAGGCAGGGGTCAGCACGCTCTCCCCTTGAGAGAGTGGCCGTGCAGTCCCTTTCCCCCCACAGGCCTCGGTAGTCCGGGCGAATCTGCATGTCTTGCCGCGGACACTGCGGGCTGGAGCCCACGTCAGCCTCACAGCATTGTTACGGGTCGGGTGAGGAAGACCGTGTTCTCCCTGGATTCCCTTGACAGTTACTTTTCAGAACAACTTTATCATGGTATAATTTACATGTTACAACATTCATCCGTTTTCTGTATGCAATGCTGTCTAATACTAAATGTGCCAGATTGAGCCCCCATCACCACGGTTCAGTTTCAGAACAGCCTCATCGCCCCAGGAAGCACTCGCAGGCCTGTTCACAGTTCATCCCCACCCGCACCCCGGCCATAGGCAGCCACTGCTCTCCTTTCTGTCTAAATAGAGTCGCCTTTTTTCGGTAGTTCACAGAAATGGAATTACACAATATGAGGCCTTTTGTGTCTGGCCCCCTTCATTTTAATTGTTTTAGGTTTCTCTGTGTTGTAGCATAGATCAATCAGAACTTCATTTCTTTTTATTGCTGAATTGCGTCCCCCGGCATGGATATGTGATGTTTTGTTTATCCACTCACCAGTGGATGGACATTTGCTTGTTTCCATTCTCGCTGCCGTGAGTGGTGATGCTGCGAGCGTGCCTGTGCCCGTCTTTGTGTGGGCATATGCTTAATGGCTTCTTAATTGGTCCTCCTGCTTCTGTTCTTGTCCCCGTCCAATCTGTTCCATACACTGTGTATAGAGGGATCTTTCTAAAATATCAGTCCAGTTGTGTCATTACCCAGCTCACAGTCCTCCAGTAGTGGCCAGCTGCCCTCAGGATCAAGTTCAAAACCCTTCACTGGAAGGATATTCAGAATCTAAAACCGTATTTCTCTTTCTGCCTTCTCTTTCATTAAGCCCTCTCTCCAGTTTCCTGCTTGAGCTATTCTTTTATTTGTTCATATTGTTTTGTACATTTATTTAACCGTTTATTCAGTTAACCAGGCTTATTGAGGCTCTGGCCATATCACAGCAGACAGGGCAGCCACAGCCTTGCTTTGATGGAGCTTGCTTTCTGGTGTGAAAGGCAGACCTAGGACAAGAAGGCATCAGATGGTGGGAAGTGCTATGAAGAAAGTGAAAGAGGATGACATGATAGACCTGGGGGGCTGCTGACTCAACTCTCCACGCCTGAGGGTTCCCCAGAGCCTCTGCCCTGTGGCCAGCTGTCTCTTTGTTACCCACTCGATGTCTAATGGTGGTAAGCTCTGTTTCTCCTTAAACCTTCACATGTTTCCTTCTTCTTGGACTGCCCTTACCCCACTCCTCTTCCTAACTCCTGCTCCCTCTTTCCAGCCCCGTGCAGCCCTCCTCCCTAGCTAGACTCCCTGCCCGTCCTGCTTTCTGAGGACTTCCATCACAGGCTGTCTGACCTTCACATTATATTTAAAGGCCTAACGATTGTCTGTCTCTTCTCCACTTGACGTAACTTGCTAGCAGTTGAGTACCTAAAGTCTAGCCTAGTCCCTGGCACAACCCTGGTGCACAGTGAACCTGCTGAAGGACTTGCTGTGGTTAGTCTTGAACAGGAGGGAGGATGGACATTTCTTTTGGGAGTGCAGGGGAGGAAGGGAGGGAGGAGGGAAGGCTCCGTGTATGGGTAAGCTAATTTGTAGGATTAGGGAAAGAAAGTTGAAGGAGTTCTGATGGCTTACATTTTCTCAGAGATTAGAGTTTAGCATGCAGTATAAAATGAGGAGAAGAGTTATTTATAATGAGCAATTAGCAGTGCATTAGAAGAAATAAAAAGTAGTGCTGTGGGGTGCATCTCGAAATCTTAGAACTGTTCTTACTTTCGGTTTTATAGCTATTAGAATTAGCCTAATTCCTGTAGCCCATTTGTTACACATTGATAAGGATAATTAAACTACTTGGATGCTATTGTACTGTTCTCTTTCTTGTTCTTTTATAATTGATTTTATTTTGATGTTGCCTTTTCAGCTTTCGGAAAATGTGATTGATCGGATGAAGGAAACCGCCTCGTCAGGCTCGAAGTCTCAGCGGTATTCTGGTGCTTATGGTGCCTCAGGTATCGCAGCATCTTAATTTCAGATTTTCTTAGTAGACAAATTAGAAGTGCTAAAAATTGGCTTGATAGTCAAGATCTCTGGCACTTCTCTGTCTTTTGTTATTTGAACGTTTGACATTTTCTAGGGAGCATTAGAAATCAGGACCAGGATTTCTTTTAAAAGGTTTTACACTAAAAGTAAAATGAATCTGCTTTCCAACAGTGTTTTGGACATTTTTTTCTCATTCAGCTCCTGAATCCTCTGTTGGGCTTTGGAAGGTTACTTCATATCGTTTTGTTTGAAATGGATTACTTACAGAGATATTAAAAATTTATAGTAAATATTTATAAAAAACATTGAACTTAGAAAGTATTGATTTACTGTTTCTAAATTGTAAACTATCTTCAGTGATTTTATTTCCTAATAATGTTTTTTAAGTTTGAAGAAGGTTTATTTCTTCACAGTTTTAATTATTGATGAAAATACAGTGTTAAATGAAATGCATAGAGAATTATTAAGCTTCATTTTATCTGTGGATCATGCAGAATAAAAGAGAATTTCTCTTTCTTTTTCTCTCGCCTCCCTGATCCATCTATTCATCCGTATTTTGATACCATATTTTGCTGTGTGTAATGTGCTCCTGTGTACAGTGTGCTCCCGTGTATAATGTGCTCCCGAGTACAGTGTGCTCCCTTATACAATGTGCTCCTGTGTATAATGTGCACCCATGCTTTTGGCCCAATCTTTCAGGAAAAAAACTTTCATTTTTATTTTTTAATTAATTTATTTATTTATTTATGTTTAGAAACAAAACCGATTATCGTATTCCAGGGTATTATTTTGCATACAGGTATCATTATTGCTTTCTAGAGTCAACACTTTTAACACATAAGCACGAATACAAGAATTAAAAACATTTTTATAGATACGGAATTAGTACTACCCCCATATAATGCACATCCTTATTTTTCCCTCAAAAGTTTGGGCAAAAACGTGTGCGTCGGACAGGGCAGAGTGTAGTAGGCAGTCCTGCAGCGTCACCTCGCAGCCATGCTGAGTGGGCTCGCTCACACCCGTCTTCGCTGCTGCAGCTCCCATCCAGTAACCCGCGCCTCTTCTGCAGGAGCCTCTTCGCTGGCTTCCCGCTTCCGCTCCTGTGTCCTTACGCTTTCCCAGGCACTTGGGGCTTCAGCAGCCTTAAAAAAAATGAATTAGTTCATGTTACATGCCAGGGGCGGACCTCAGTGGTACATAGAATATCACGTGAACCGCTTTCCTTGGCCTCTGAGGCACACCATGACCGCCTTCTTCCTACTTTTCCAACATCATCTTGCTCTATGGATATTTTTAAAATGGGGATTTGATCTGAAATATGATTTGTTCTAGGTAGATTTTTGTTTTTACCTACTGGGCTAAGGAAGTAGGATGATGATGATGATTAAATAATGATGAATACTGATAAATAAAACTTAAGTAGTGCTTATTACGTGCCAGCTACTCTGCTAAATCCCTTATGTATCTTATCCCATTTAGTTCTTCTCACCCCGTGAGGAAGGTATGTTATTAACCCATTTTACACAGAAGGAAACTGAGACTTAAATTAATTGTCTTGCCCATGGACACACAGCTGGTAAGCAGTGGAGGTGATGGTTGAATTCAGTCTGTTACAGTCCTGAGCAAATGCTGTTTTATTATAGCTTGAATGACACCTTGCTTCCCTTGTAGAAGGGATGTGACATACTAATTGGAGAGAAAGAGCTGCCCTTTAGTGCTGTTCTTCTTGATTTCAGGAAAGAACCTTCTATCTATAAGTGATTGTTGGTTCTTCTAGGGTTGTTTTTTGTTTTGTATTCATTCTCATTCAATACTGAGTTGAAGGAGAGAAAGTGTTTTTCCTCTTGGTTGGCTTCTTACGCTAATCCTTTGAGAGAGTGGGTGTGGGTGGGGAGGCTTGCTGTGAGTGCTCCTGGCTTGGCCTGCAGAGCATGACACTGGCGTTGGGGCGGGCCCTGGCTGTGCTGGGGGATCCACCCCTTCCCGTGTCTGGGTTTGACGTGACCGATGAGCTCTCTGAGCCATGGCCGGCCCGGGCCCTGCAGACGCCTTGAATACCACTTTGTGTTTGGGTGGTCAGGCTAGAACTACATCTAAATGCTATCCACTAGTCACATATGGCCTTAAGATTTAAATTATAATTAATAAAAATGAACTAAAGTAGAAATTTCAGCTCAGCTGCACTAGTCACATTTCAGTGCTCAGTAAACACACGCGGCTTGGGGCCACCAGGTTGGACAGTGCAGAGGTGGGACGTTTTCATCCGCTCCAGCCTAGACCACATCAGTGCTCGGCACCGTGACCTTCACGGATGACGTGAGTGATGTGGTGACGGAGGGTATGGAGGTGGGTGGCTCTGTGTGTTCTCGACTCTTGTTTCCTGCCTTTTCCATGTCCCAGCACCCCCAGGATTGTGGGTAAACGGAAACGTCGGGGGGTTTTTCCCCAAGGCTTGCTGTCCTCACCTCAATCCTCAGCACCGCTTCCTGACTGGTGTGTAACGAGTGTCCTGGAGGTAGTGCTTCCTCAGGTGCAGAGTAGCTGGGCAGCACCTCATGTGTGCGCTCCCATGCCACATGCATTCTGTGTATGCCGTGTGAGACAGGCTCAGCAGGACGGCCAGTGTGGGTTCTTTGCACCCGTTTCCCTTCCCCCTTCCAGCCCAATCCAACCCAACCCAGCCCAACCCAAGGAAAGAACTGAGATTTGCCGTGCTGTTTGGAAATGACCTTGCATTTAGGTTAAGTATGCATTTAGGCTACGATTTTGCAAATTAATAAAGATTTATTCTTCATAAGATTTAAAAAATTATGTGTATAAAAGTAGAAAGCCTCAAAGTTTATTCTCTTCAACATTTGTCTCATTTGGAGTTTCGTTAGTACTCAATAATAGATTTGTTAAGATTTATAATTTAGATGTGCTATGAAATAATATTTCATGTTTACAAAAACTATTGATAAAAATGGCACTGCTTTTTCTGCATTTTCAATGTCAGGTGAATTACATAAATGTGAGTTGAAATTTCAATATTTATTCAAATGCTTTCTTCCTTACAAAACTAATTCACATCAGCCCTAGGCTCTTCATATGTGTGAATACAGGGCAGTGTCTTTGATGGACTGAGAGCCCTAGGATTTATGTATATCGGAACTAAGTTTTATCATATATGTACCTTTGAGAATATAATTTTATTCTGTAAGAAAGTGAGTTACACTAAAGACTTCACTGAAACTATTTTTTTGCCAAACCTTGAACCAGATCAATGACTCGTTGCAATAAGTATTTCCATGTAAGCTGTTCCGGCAAAATAATATGCTATGTGACACATGGCAGATTGTAATGCCACTTTAATAAATGAATGTGCTCTAAAGAAATTAGCTGTGTCCTTGCCGCCTCAGATTCTTTGCCGTGTAATGTGTTAGCTATATTGGTTTGCTTTTACAATAGAGAATTTCCTGTTTTAGGCTGACATAGGGGTTGTCGCTGCACATAGTTATAATCTTTTCATTAACATCTTGCATCTTTTGATTTTATTTACTTATTTTTAATTTTTGTCGAATGGATTGGGATGAAATTGGTTGTAAAATTATAGGTTTCAGGCATGCAATTCTATAACACATCATCTGTGTATTGTATTGTGTGTTCAGCATCCAAAGTCAAGTCTCCTTCCATCCCCATTTACTTTTTACTCTCTTCTACCTTCCCCCACCCCCTTTCCCTCTTGAATCACTGCACCGTTGTCTGTGTGAGTGAGATTTTTTTTTCCACTTAACCCCTTCACATTATTCACCCAGTTTCCCAGCACCCTGTCCCTTCTGACAGCTGTCAGTCTGTTCTCTGTATACATCAGTCTGTTTCTGTTTTGTTAATTTATTTTGTTCGTTAGATTCCACATACAAGTGAAATCATATGGTATTTGTCTTTAGGAAAAGCTTACTGGCTTACTTCATTTAGCATAATGCTTTCCAGGTCTACCTGTGCTGTGGCAAAAGGTAAGGTTTCTTTCTTTTTTGTGGTCGAGTAGTATTTCATTGTGTAAATGTAGCACATCTTTTTTATCTTTTGGGCTGATGGGCACTTGGGCTGTCTCCGAATCTTGGCTATTGTAAATAATGTTGCAATGCACATAGGGGTGCATATGTTCTTTCATGTTAATATTTTGGGTTTCTTTGAATGTATTTTTGGAAGTGGAATGGCTGGGTCCTAGCAGCTCTTCAAGGCTCAGTCAGATGTAGCACTGTAGAGAGAGTTCACAGTAAACGAGCTGTGCTTTCTCCTTTGCTTTGAGTCACAAGAACGGAAGGGAGTTGCACTATCTGGGTTTGTAACTTTAAATATCTGAGTATTTATTGATGCCAGTGTCTCAGCTCTCCACTTTTTTTTGCATGTGCTGTAATAATTTGCCTGACAGTTCCTAAAAGGAAGAAATGCATACACTGTTGATTTAAAGGTGTGCTTTAAATATTAGTAAAATTCTTTGGTAAGTGTAGTTTGTTTTTAAAGACAAATCCATAAGCAGTGTACATTTAATGGACGGTTGAACAGCTGTTTGCTCCATCAGTCGACAAATGTGAGCATGCAGCAGTCTTTGACTTCAGGAACTATTAGTGTGGTGGAAGCATAAGTAACATTACTATGGAGGAAATAAGTACTAGTTTGGTGCCCTTCACCTGCTTAGTTAAGTTTTCAACTAGGTGAATGAATACATGGGATGGAATATATAAGAGGCCCAGCAAGTGCTTTAGGAATTCAGAGAAAAAAGGCCAAGAGCTTGGGCCGGCAGGCCCTTGGGGGAAGTGGACTTGAGCCAGACCTTGAGGATAAGAGAGACGGGGTGTTGGTGTTGAAGGCATTCCTTGTGGAGTCAGTTCACAGACCAGATCAACTCAGAGAAAGGGTGCATGCGAGTGTCGCAGGTGTGGGAAAGCGGGGTAAGCTAAGGAGCTTAATATTATCCTGTGGGCCC